GACGCGAGGGGCGGGGCCACAACCCCTGGCGTGAGGGGCGGGGCCACAACCCCCTGACGTGAGGGGCGGGGCCACAACCCCCTGACGTGAGGGGCGGGGCCAGACGGCCCAGCTAAAGGAGGCCGGGTCTGCAAAATGCTAACTGCGCGTGCTCCCTGAGGCCAGAGTTGAAGCCAATCTTTCTCACCTGGTGCACCTGCTACACACACTCGTCCCCCTCCTGGCGTCTGCAGCCAGGAACGCACACGTGGGTGCGTGGGTGCGTGCTCGGTGTCCCTTAAAAGGCCGCAAAGGGAGTCCTGAGGTGTAAGGTCCCCAGCGCAGCCACCACCCAGAGCAAGAGGGGGGCCCTCCTGGGAGCCCCTGCCTCACCTGGCACCTACCGGCACCCCCAAGCCAACCGACAGGAAACCCACAGCGAACGGCCCAGCGGGCTGAGAAGCTGATGGCGAGTTTTAACCATAAAAACACGGAAGGCGCTGCTTCTGAGACTCGTGGGGGACAGAAAAAAAGGCCTTCCCTGGACGCTGGGCAGCAATCGCTTGTGAACTCATCGTATTCTTAGTGGCTTCCTTCAGTTAAAAATAAATTCACGCACTGAAGCAACGTTCTCCCATATCAATTTCTGAGAGGCATTAGGCCAATTAAAATCCTCCCAGGGTGTCTTCTGGTTTTAACTTCGGTCATCTGTGGCTCAGAAGAGAGGAGGGGGTGATTTACAGCACTGGACAGTCAGCAGCGAGCGGAATTCAAAAGCACACAGGACCTTGGTCGATCTTTGGGCGGGGAGTGGGGGTGGGGGAGGTAGTAAACATAGATGCTTCTGTAAGGCAGGCTGCTAAGAGGCTTTCTGCAGTGTCTACCAAGCTGCATCGCATGTCGTCTGAAACCAGCTGGTGGGTTGCAACATGGAGAATCGGGGACATCGTCAAATAAAAATTTGGCTTGACCATTGTCAGCCTAGGTGACCCAATCAAAACAAACACATCGTTTGAAAACGCCAATGCTAAGATAGGCTGTGCGTGGTCCAAGAGATACTGTCTGCTCTTCCTTTTTCCAGGCTGCTTCCTTCTGCTTCCTCCGTGCTGAGCTGGGTGCCCACGCCGGATTTCTATCCTAATCTTATTGGGTGGCTGAAAAGTCTCTCACCCAGCGAGGGGGTAGCTTCCAAGGCTGTACCTAATGTTCAGCATGCACAATGCAATTTTTCTTCAGCACCCTAGCTGAAAACATGCAGAGTTCTGTGGTCTGCGTCCATTAAGAGCACACCCAAGTATTTATTTAGAATAGGCTAACAGTGGGGCGAGAAAAACATAAAAGTGTCATGTAAATGATTCAATAGCTAACACCAGAGATGGTGGTGGTGGTATGGGGAAATAATATTAAAAACTCTAACCATCAGGTAGGCTCCTTCCAGTAGGTAGTACTTGAATCCTACAGCGTTCCACTAGCAGATTCAATATTTCACCCAAACTCTGCCTCAAAATAATGAGTTTGACACAAATCCATGTTTGGCATGACACCAACGCTGGTCCCTAGGGTTACAAAGACTTGAAGGAAAGCAGCAACATGTGGGATTGAGGAATGGAGTACCGTCTAGATCTTTTATAAACAAGTTCCAATAGTCGTGGATGCACCCTCTCTGCCCCCTTGCTATCCTGGCCGGGGAGGGAGAGAGTGAACAAGTGATATGAGTGTGCGTGTAGTGACCAGTCCAGCGCCAGGGACACTGGGTTCTTCTCCTCAGTGACATCTAATATCCTTTGAGATTGGTAGAATTTCCCCTTCCCATCCCCTTTAAGTGGAAATCTGTCCAATAAAAAAATTCCAAACCTATTTTGAAAAAAAAAAAGTGCAGCACGTCTTCACATTTTATAAACAGAACAAACATGGAAATGAGTGAGGTGCGAGACATTCAGGCGGATCCGAATTCCACCATCCACTTCTCGTACTTCTCCAGATCGGCCGCCGAGACGGACTTGGCGATCTTCTTGAGGGCCAGCTCGAAGTCCCCTGTGGTGACTGGCATCTGCAGCTCCTCCTTGGACAGCGCACGGATCTCCTCGGGGCTCAGCCCGTTGATCCGCCGCCTCATGGCCATCAGCGAGGCATCCCTGAAAGCACACGCCCGCCCAGGTCAGTACAGGCTGGTGGTGCCAACACCTTTCAACACTCTCGACTGCAACCACGTTGGGACAGGCATCCATCCCACCACGAACCCCTCAAAGGTCACTGCATCTGTTTTCAGGATGCTGCTTAGAATTTTCCAGAGACTTCCTGAGAGTTCCAAAGAGGCTAAGTCAGGATGCAAAGGACATAAACACAAAGGTAGGCTTAGTGGACCCAGCGGGCCGGAGGGTCAGGCTGCCACAGGGCTGGGTTGTCTGCATCTCTCTCAACGCATTACCCTGGAGTCAATTCTGACTGACAGCAACCCTACAGGGCAGAGTGGAACTGCCTCTTCAGGTTTCCAAGCCTGAGAATCCTTATGGGAGTAGAAAGCCTCATCTTTCCCCTCGCGGAGCGGCTCAGACCTCATGGTTAGCAGCCCAACACGTAACCCACTAGAGCGCTTTCTTCTGCACCTGGACCCCCTGAAAGGGGGCCAAGATGTTTGGGAAGCTAACACTGAAATGCACATCAGGTTTCTGGTACAAGAATCCGGAACGGTGCATCAGTTTGTTGACAGCCCCAGGAGTGGGGGAAGAGCTGGGCATGTAAACAGCTCCATGGAGAGTGGACATGGAATCCCTAGACCAGGGACTATGTGGAGCCAGCTACAGGATTAGGACGAGGTGCTCCTGGCATAGTGGTTACGTGCTGGGCAGGTAACCGCAAGGCTGTTAACAGTTACGGTCTCAGAACCCCCCAGGGGCAGTTCTAGCCTGTCCCATAGGGTTGCGAAGGATCCGCATCGACTCCATGGCAGTGAGTTTTTCGTTGAGAGGGTTAAGCCTGGTTTCTCTCAATCCCATTTTCAGCTCTGTTCTGATCCGCTGAAAATGATGATGATTCAGAAGAGAAGGGCAATTCAGTTAGTGTCCCGACCAAAACCATTAGGAAGACCAAGCCAACCAAAATGGTAAATATTTTAATTCTTTATCATCGGAGAGTCAAAATACTGCCAGCTGACTATATGTCCCTGAATGGAGACACACGGAAAAAACTCTGAGAAGGAAACTTCAGGGCACAAGTGCTATGGCTTTACAGAAAGGCTTGCTGTCGTCATTGCTGTGTGCCAGCAAGTCAGTTCTGTCAGGTTGTGACCCTCGATGACAGACTAAAAGTGCCCCTGTAGGGCTTTGCAGGAGCAGACTGCAAGGTCTTTTTCCCCCTCGGAATCATTGGGTGAGTTCGAACTGCTGACCTTTCAGTTAGCAGCTGAGTGGTTAACCACTGTGCCACAAGGTTTAAAAAAAAACAACTGAAAAGAAAAAAAAAATTCTTCTTAGCACAAAATGATGTGAATTGGCTAAAAACTATCTCAGTAAATTGAAAGGAAAAAATGTGTAAGTAACTTATGAGTGGTGTGATAATTAGGTTTCGTGTTGGCATGGCAGGGTCAAGAGTCTCAGTGGTTCGACGGTTCCACGATGCGATCTCATAAGACCCATTCAACTGCAGGATAAGACCTGCTCTGGGTGGCCGAGCAGTGGTGAGCCGAGGTGGAGTGCAACCCACGTCCTCGGGTCACATCCGTGATGCAATTGAAAAGGGTGTGGCTTACTTCCTACATAAGGATGCTGTGGGACAGTCTGTTAGATTTTGGCTGGATCTGGATTCTGCCCCGGGCTCGTCAATCTACAATTCTTGGACGTGCACCAAAGGCCAGCCATATTGCCTGTCAATCCCAGGAGCCTTCAACCTGCCATCTGACCTTGGATTCATTCACCTACCTCTCCAGTCACAAGCTTGACCTGCTGTCCTTTGCTTCATCTGCGTCTGCAGCCTGCAGTGTTCCTACCAATCCTAGTCCATCAGCCCTGCAGCGCTACCAGTCCAGACAGACCTCCAGCCTAACATCTGACTCACAGACTTGAAGCTGGTTTGGACTTACTTACTTCTGTAACTATGTGATTTGTTCTCTTCAGACACACACACACACACACACACACACACACACATTCATGATTTTGCTTCTCAAGAGAACCCAGCCTAATCCAATCCAAGGGGGCTTCAAAAAGTTCGTGAAAACTGACCCTGACACCTGACAAACTCGAAGGTGCCCAGCTACCACTACCAACTACTCTGAAAAGGATCACATTAGAAGGTCCCGGATAGAGTGGGAGAAAGATTTTAATCAAAACAATTAAAAAAAACAAAACAGGCTGACTGGTTGGACAGAAACTCAGAAACTGGCAGAACCCTTGAGACTATGACCCCTTGGACACCCTTCAGCTCTGGAACCGAACTCCTCCTGATGGCTCGATGTTCAGCCAAATAACGGACAGGTCTAAAGGGTCAGCGGCAACCTTGGCGGAGAATGCAGTCCTCAACATTATCCACCCCTGGAAACCGTGGGGCACGCATCTGCCCAAGGGCAAAGTGAGCCGGGCTCAGTGAGGAGGAGATGGGGTGGACGCAGGACACACAGGAGGAAGTGGGGGCAGTGATGCTGCGTTGAGGGGATCGCTATGAAGGAGATGAATTGTCGCGTGTAAAACTCATGATCTGCCCTGTAAATCTTCACCCAATCCACAGGGAAAAGTTATCTTTTCAAAGTTCGAGGAAAAACAGAACGAAATGATAATGACATTTTCCCACGAATTTTTTGAAGCCCCCTCATACTGCTTCCATGAACTTTGTTCATCAAAATAATGCCAGCCGGTCCTAATGATCGCACTTTATGGCTCCAACATAGTCCTGACTCACCAGAGGCCATTAGAATTTCTATTCCCTGGGAAAGTATCATTGTTTCTTAAAAATCAAAGGGAAGCCCCATCCTCAGGCCCAATGTGTAGTGTCTGTGGCAGTTAACATCATCTGTCAACTTACAAAGGGGTGGAGTCTAGCCTGTCAATCAGGTAATCGCCAATGAGGCCTCTGTGTGGGCATGGCTTTCTTCTGAGGATTCTGGGGACTCCTGTATTCCTCCTTGGAGGCAGGAGACTCCTTCCCCTTGCTTGACTTCCTGCTGACAAGCCACATAGAGACCCCTGATGGAACCAGAGCCCTGGAGCTGGAGGAGTCACATGGAGATCCCTGCCAGTGCTGAGAAGCTCCCACCGCCACTGCATCCCCCAGACCTCCCACCCACTGGCCTGTGATCTTCCTGCATTTGGCTTCACTTCGTGTGTTCAGTGAGTCTGAATAGGAGATTATACACTGGTATCAGACATACGGGCTAATATCAGACTTATGGACTTGATCTGGACTGGGCTGGGATGTTTTAATGAACAATTATTCTTTGATATAAACTTGTCTCTTGCACACATCTGCGTGTCTGAATCTGTTTCTCTAGTCACCCCGGGCTCACACAGTGTCTATCTCAGATCAGTCGGAGACTACCTGCACACGTTCGTTATATCGGCGCCAGAATAGCCCTCGATCTTCTCTGCGATGTCGTCCAGTTGAATGTCAGGATCCAGCTCAACCTCTCGAAGATTGATCTTCAGGAGCTCAGCTCTTCCTTCTGCTGTTGGGAGAGTTGGGGTGCTGTTACACGAGCTACTTCACAAATCATGTTCCCGAGAAACTGCAGACGCACAGCCAGGAAGAGAAGCGTGATGGGTGGCGCAGAGTGGACCAGCATCAGCAGGGTGTCATGGCAGACGCAAGGACGCACTAGGTTCCTTCCCCTGCACCCTGACTGCCGTGACTGAAAGCAGACCCACAGCTAAAGCTTCCTTATTGACCGAGAGGGCACCTGCGATGGGAGCCGAGGAGCTCAGGTCCTTTCTTGACAACAGAAACACTAACATCGCACCGTCGTAGATGTTTTCAGGAGAACGTACTGGTCTATTTCATGAAAAGAGATGAACTTCAAGGAATTATCTGTGGATTCCTTGGCCCACCTTCTTGTAGGGCTCAGAACCCTGAAATGGGTCATTGTTAAAAGCCCAGTGTTGTCACCTTGTGTTTGTTGGTTTTTCTAGACATCAGCAATTGGCACAAAGACTTATTAATACATTCTCTACTCAGAGAGCCAGCCTGTGGGCACTTGCTGTTCCAGTATGACTCAACTGTATACTGTGTGAAGTTAAGTCCACTAGATCATTTTTTTAAATACCAACAATGCTTGGCTATTTCCCTAAGTTTTAGCCGCAAATCTGCTTCCGGGGGCACACTAAGGGAATATACAATTATGCCTTAACTTTCTCCAATTTCCTAAGACATGAAAAAAAAAAAAACCAATTATTGTTCCCATTTTTTATTGTGTAAATTTTTGAACCTACAAAAAAGGGGAGTGTAAAAATAATCAGTGAATGCCCATTTATCTTTCATCTGGATCAACGGTTCTCAACCTGTGGGTTGCGACCCCTTTGGGGGGGGTCAAATGACCCTTTCACAGGGGTCGCCTGACTCCTAAGAGTAGCAACAAAAATAATGTTATGGTTGGGGGATCACCCCCACACGAGGAACTGTATGAAAGGGTCGTGGCATGAGGAAGGTTGAGAACCACTGACCTGGATCAATGTTTTTCAAACTGGGCAGTACTACCCCCAGCAAGAGGTAGGGGATGGGGGGTGCTGAAAAGACCCAGGGGACTGTGAACGCAGAAATTTGCCATTTATCCTAGATTATGACTTATAATACAAAGTTTTTTAATTGACAGGGGGTTACCGAGTAATTTTCCTGATGAGGGGGCAGCAGGCCAAATAAGGTTGGGAACCTATGATCTTATGGAGCCTCTGCTGAGAAACAGTAACTTCACATTTTGAGATTTTTATTTAATGATTTTATAGCAAAACTTTTTTTCCTTGCCCTCATTCCCTCAAATATTGAAAGTAAAATAAAAACAAATAAGCCTAAACATATATACTTTAGTAACATAAGTACAGAGAGAATTATTTCAAATGAGAACAAACCATTGAGGTTTTCATTTGAGTGATTTAAAATTGACACATTTTAAAAATTTTAAATTGACTCAATTACTGCTTGACATTAAGGAGCAATATTTTAAAACAGTTTACAGGTTTAAATCTAGTCATCTTCATAGCTACTTTAAATAGGTTTATTATGTTATGATCTCTAGGAATAAAACCCAAACCCAGAGCCATCAAATAGATACCAACTCAGAGTGAAACTGGTTTCCTAATGTAATCTTTCCCAGAGTAGACAGCCTCATCTTTCTCCCTCAGCGCGGCTGGTGGCTTTAAACCACCAACCTTGCAGTTAGCAGCCTAATGCTTAATACACTGCGTCAGCAATGATTTCGGTAGATAAGCCCTATTCTAGAAATGAAAGGAAATTTTTGTGGGAGTATCAAAACCTTCATGGAAATAGTCCATCTTCTAATTCCATGTTTCCATTAACTTGTGGACACCCCTTCATATATTAAAACGAACAGGATACATGTTTTGCTGTTAGATGCCATGGTGTCGGTTCAGACTCAGAACAGCCCTAATGCAGACAGAATTGAACCCAGAGGATTCCCAAAGCTTTAAATCTTTACAGAAATAGACGGGCAGTTCTATGATTAAGTGGTGTGTGGGTTCAAACCACTGACCCTCTGGTTGAAGTCAAGTGCTTCGCCACTGTGCTACTAGGGCTCTTTAGTAGGATGTAGACAGGCAATGTAAGCTAACATCTGTAACCTAGAAATCTACTGAGTGTGCTATACAACCAATGTACAGTCACAAGAGTGAGCAAGAGACATGGTAGAAAAATAAGTTTAAATTTAAGGTTAAAAGTGATGAAACAACTAGTACCAGACTTTCCTCCTCTGGTGAGTAAACATAAAACTAGACAGAATATAAGAAGCAACTGTTTTCCCTCATTAAACAACGGGGAACAAAGAATTATAAGATGGCCTTTTCTTAACTGTGCTAATAATGTGCCTTCCAGAATAAAATTCAACATCCTTTAAAGGAAAACAGCATAGCCAAAACTCCCTACAACAGGGAGCTGATAATAAACAGGACTAGACATGTGAAGCAGAAAAACCGGACCAATGATCAAGAAAGGGGAAAATCGTCAAGAGAAATAGAACCCCAGGTGATCCAGATGTTAGAACTGGCTGACAAAAACCATAAAAGCTTATCCGTGATCTATTCTGTTGCTAAGTAATGAATTCTAAAACTTAGTGGCTTAAAACACAATTGCTTGTCAACCCAGTTTCTGTACACAGGAATTGGGCAGTAGCTCGCCTGGGCCGTTCTGGGCTGGTGTTTCTCAAGCGACTGACTCTTCACAGGAGCTGGGACTTTGGTTACAGGTGCCTCACTCACATGGAGGCGGTGGTGCTGACTGTTAGTGGGGGACTCTAGCTCCTCCCACGCTGGCTCCTCACAGCATGACAGCTGGCTTCCCCCAAACGAAGAGCTGAAAGCCAGGCAGAGCTCTCCCTTCTTCTGCCCTCGCCTTAGAAGACAGCCAGCCTCATTTCTGCCAGGTTCTGTTTCTCAGAAGTAGAGCTACCGTATGGTGCAGTTAATTCCTTTGTTTGGTTTGTGGATAAATCACCTTAACAGGTTCCCTAAGGAGCAGCTGAGTACGCACTGGACTGCGACATCAGTGAACTGCACCAGCGGGCACTTCGTGGAGCAGAGAAGATGACCTGCTCTCGTGAAGATTTACAGCCTCGGAAACCCTACGGAGGTCTGCTATGAATTGGGCTGACTCCATGGGGGAGGGTTGGATCTGGCTGGGTCTGGCTAGAGGACCCCTGGTGGCCCAGTGGCTTAAGCATGAGGCTGTCAGTTCCTGTAAAGATTTACAGGCTAAGGAACCCTACGGAGCGGTTCTCCTCTGTCCTGCAGGCTCTCTGCGACTGGATCAAGTCCATGGCAGTGGGTTTGGGGCTTTTGGTCTGGTTAAGGAGCTACGTATTAGGCTACATATTAAACTACTAATCCCAAGGTCAAATAGTTCAAAGGCACTCGCTGTTCCCAGGGAGAAAGATGAGGCCGTCTACTCCCATAAAGATTTACAGTCTCAAACGCCGGCAGAGGCAGTCCTACTCTGTCCAACAAGGGGCTCAGAAGTGAATTGATGGCAGTGACTATGATTAATTTAAGGTGCCCACTCGTAATCAATAATGAACACAGTCTTGCTGATGACCATCTTGGAGCCTGGCACCTTAGGGAGCTTTTCTGTCACCAGAGAAGGCCAGGTACAGAGCTGCACGGATTGAGAACTAGGCATGCCTGTGTTCCTCTGCCTGACGTGGATCCTGAGTTGCAGCCTCTTACCCATAATAAACCACGTAACTGTTCAGTACAGCCTGTGAGCTCGGAGAGACATTACTGCCAATGACTGAACCCAGCAGAGAGAGAGAGAGAGTCGTGGGCAGTGGGGGACAGTGAGGCTCAAACATAATGGAGAAGCTGGGGCGTAGAGATGTTCCTGATCACCTCCGCCTCGGAATAAGCTTCATGACGGTTCTTAGTCATGAAGTTATCCACTGATTTATTCCGGGAAAAAGCCATTAAACGTTGTCTGTTGAAGGGTAGACTTCAAAAAAGAAAAAGATAAATAAAATGAAGAGATGGAGAGTCCTGGCAAAGCACTGAAAACTATTTCTAAAAAATGAATGTTCTTTGTACAGTATCTGAAATAAATGTGCACGACATCTGAAACGGTCGAATTCTGGACGGGCTACCTACAGGCAGATTGGAGGTGGCAGCAGGAGGATCAGTGAGCGAGCATGACGCTAGATGCGTGGAAACGCTCCCATTTAAGGGAAGGCATGAAAGAGCACTGAAAAGAATCCCAGTGGCCTGTGGGACACTAGCAAAAGGCCGCATGAATCGAAGGGAACCTTGACAGAGGTGCATCCTCCCACTGCCAAAAGCACAGAGGAACACGGAGCACCTCTAGAGCAGCCGGCGAGGACCACGGCTCAAGCAACCGCCGACCTGCTCCAGTGGAAACGCACACACCACGTGGCCACGTACAGGGTTTTATTCGAGAGCAATGAAAATATACGTCCATACATGAATCCTCCTGACAGGTTTCCTCATATTACTCCCAAACAGGAAGTAAGCCAACTATCCACTGATGGAGAAATGAATAAACCATCCACGGCACGTCCACAGGAGGGAACGCTGTTGTACCACAAAGACACTGCCCAGTCCTGCGCCACTCACAGTGGTGACGATGACTGAGCCAGCCCACTGCTGTGGCCACTGCGTCCCCTCGCCTCGTGGAGGGCCCGCCTCCTTTTCTGACTCTCTAGCTTCCCAAAGGGGATATCCTTCTCCAAGGACTACTATCTCCTGATAAGATGACCCAAACAGGTGAGTCTCGCCATCCTGGCTTCCACGGGTCATCCCACTTGTAAATCTACCACGACAGATGTCTGTTCGTTGGCAGTTTGTGGTACTGTCAATATTCTTTCCCAACACCGTACTTCAGGATCAAATCTTCTTCCTTCCTTATTCATTATCTATCTTTCCCATGCACTCGGAGAGGGGGCCTTCACAAAGTTTTGGGGATGAAATCAATCCATTAAAACTCCATTTCCCATGAACT